TTTTTTTCCCTGATCCTCTAGTCTAGCGACCTCTGCTCGTTTCTCATGGTATGTTGTCTGTAATTGATCATAATTAACTGATACAGCATCAAACTGGTGTCTCAACCCAGCCAGTTCACTAGCCTATAATATCAGTGAATTAAACACACATACATACATTATTACTAGTTGTTGCTGGGAATATATTGCTTGTTCTTTATCAGCAGATACATTGGCTAACTGTTGTCTCAACCCTGCCAGCTCACTAACCTACAGTGTCAGTCATTAAAAAAATTCACACAAACACAATATATTACTAGTTGTCGCTGGGAATATATTACTTCTTCTTTATCAGCAGATAAACTATCTGACTCTTGTCTCATCCTAACCAGTTCATTATCCTACAGTAAGTATCAGTCAATCAAACACACACATACACACAAAACACAGTATTTTGTCACATTACCAGTTGGTGCTTTAATTTTATTTCATTTTCAAGCTTTTCCTGAATCTACAAGTACAAGAACTGAGTGCAAACATTCATGCATAGTGCATACCATTTGTTGTAATTGCTGTACTTGCTGTCTTGATTTCTCTTGTATCTCAATAGCCTACACAATTAGTAGATTAAATATCAAAACAACACTGTCACAATAAATTTTGCAAAATAAACAGGGTTAAAAAATTAATAATTTTACCAGTTGTTCCTTTGCCTTTATTTCACCATCAAGCTTCTCCTTTAATTCTTCAGCCTACACACATTACATGTAAAAATTAATGCTACACACAATGCATGTATTATATTACTTGTTTTTGAGTAGACAGTAGTTCTTGAATCTGATTATAAAATGAACAGTAATTCAATAATACATGTCCTATCAAATACCTCAGTTTTGTGTTTCTCTTGACTCTGACTCACTAATCCTTTCTGTTTATCCACCTCACGACTGTAAGCATTGACTTGTGCTGTTAGTACTTTGTTTTCTTCTTCCACATTTTTCATTCTTTCTGTCTCTCCTTCTTCTAGTTCCTTGAGTTTCTATACTTAGCACAGTTAGCAGTAAAACAATATCATCAATAATAAGACACCTTTTTAATTTTCTTGATTTCTTCAGTGTGTTGTTTCTTAAGTTGAGCATTTTCTTTAACCAAAGATTCAATTTCAACACCTTTATTAGCTATTTCTTTTCTACTCTATAAGTAATAATAATCGACATTATACAGGGCATCATTATTTTAACAAACCTCTTTTAAATCATGCTCTAAATTACTGTTTGACTGTTTGAGGTTATGAAACTTCATCTGTGCTTCCTTCTCTTTCTCAGCTGATTCTTGCTTCAAAATTTCATGTTGTGCTTGAAGTTTTATGAGCTGAGCATGTATTCTTTCTCGATCCTTCCTCTCACTTTCAAAATCTTGTTTGAATATTTCATTCTAATAAATACACACAGTATACAGGTTACTAAATATTTGGTCTGATTTTGGAGCAAATTTAAAAATTCATAAAAAATCAAATTTTGATTGGAATTTGCTATGCAATGCATTATGTATGAGAAAAAAATATTAAAATGCAGAATTCTCTCATAGCCTTTTATGGCAAAATTTTTGAGTAACTTAAAAAATTTGAGAAAAAAATCAAATTTTGATCAGAATCAGCTCAGACTTGCTAAACAACATAAGTACATGTACATGCATCAAGAAAAATATTTTAAATGCAGAATTCTCTCCTAGCCATTTTTGGTGAAATTCGGCCAAAGTTCCTGTATACTACATGTAATGACTTGTGTTACAACAACTTTTAAAAATGATCGTTTCACATTCATAAATATTTCAGCTATTGGTAGCAGTGATTTTATGAAAACATGCTGCTAACAATGACAATAATTATTGCTGCTAAAGAATGCAACAGTAACTTATTAGGCTCAAAAAGCCAATTACCAAATACTCATCAATGCTGAGTGGCTAGTCACATAAATATCAACTATACCTGAGTCTTCATTAAAGTAAGTTTTTCTGATATTTCTTTTATTTTTTTATCCTTTCATCTAAGTGCTTTAGTATATCCTCAACTTGTTTCTCCAGATCCATAGAAGCTGTACTCTTTTTATCTAATGAATCCTGTAAAACACAGTATGCTTCCTCCCGATTGTACAAATGGTCCTTTAACTTAAAATATTGACACAAGATGAAAAACAATTTAAGATAAAATCTTTTACTTCTTTATTTTTTTGACTCAATTTATCCAGTTGAGCCTAATAAAAGTAGCAATAGTAAACAGACATTTTAATGTAACTAATTCACAATACTTTACCTGCAATTCCTTTTCTCTAGCTTGAAGCCTGTCCTTGTATTTTTTCTTTACTGCTTCCATTGCCTCGTTCATCTCTTTTAGATGAGATTGCGTTCTTTGCTGAGAGTTCTCATTAAATTTTCTTTTCCATTTCTCTTCCAGTTCAACTCGCTTTGCTTCCTCCTTTCTTCTAATGTGGTTCATTTCTTCCTTGTGATTAGCAACTTCAGCATGCAATCTTTCCAACTCAGTAAGCCTTTCCTTCATATTTCCTTGTTCCTCTACAGTCCCCTATTATATTACATTAATGATATACCATCACACAGAACATACCTTTAAACCTGTAGTCTCTTCTCTCAATCTATCAATCTCATCAAGTTGCTCCTTACGTATCTCCTCTAATTTATCAATACGTCGTGTAGCCTCAGCAATATTCCTTTTACTCTCCTCTTTTAAATCTTCCATTTGTTTGGTCATTAATTCCCTCTCTGTCTTATCAGCAGCATCACTTCCTTCAGCATCAAACACACTTTTCTCTTTCTCAGATAACTGTTCTATTAGATGCTTGATTCTTGCTTCTTTCAGTTGAAGATCTTCAACTTTCACGTTCATTTCCTTTTCAAGTTCACTTATTTTCTGCTTCAGTTCTTCCTCCTTACTACTCTTAAGCCTCTCATTCAAAAGTGTTAATTCCTCCTTTGCTTCAGCTAACTGCCTCTCCAATTGTACTTCGGCTTCTTCCTGTTCATTGTATGCTTTATTTTTTTCTTTTAATCTCTGTCTAAGAAGTGCTTCGCTGCATTTTAGTTTTTCCTTGAGATCAGATATTTCTTTCTCTCTCTCACTCAGTGATTTGGTAAGTTGATTAATTCTCACAGTCTCATTGATAAAGCTTTGATTATGAACTACTTTCATTGGACCTGAACCAGCCATGGTTCAATAACAACCAATCTAAAGTAATAATAGGTAAATCTGAGGGTAAATCAGATTTTTATACGACTCAAACAAAATTAATAATGAATGATTGCAAGTATTTTTAGTGTCAAAATGCCCTAAGCCGGTCCATATCTATGCCCTAAGTACAGGTATAAGTATAACTATGACTGAAAATGATGTTCTTAATTATATAGAAAATGCTAGACTAATTGAATATAGCAACAAAACCCATTTCTTACTTGTGAGGTGCTTGATGTCGCGAATGTCTGTCAGTACAGTTGCACTAGTTCAGGGGGATCCCCATCCAAAGAAGTAGGTGTAACCATAGATATTAGAGTTACAGGGATAGGAAACTTCCGTTCGCGGGAAATCAAGCTACCTTCCCCATACCGTATTAATTCTTTCTAATTGTCAGTAAATTTCATTTTTACACTGAGCAATGGTGGCTAGTCTCTGATGTGCCAGGTCTTTCTCATCGTCTTTCAGTCTGTTCAGGTCCACTGTATCAACTTGAAAATGAACTTGCAATGGAGCCATGTCTATATTCTTCCTTTACTTTAGTTATCTGATGTTTATTTTATTATTTGGCTCCTCAAAATTAGAATGTTGGTAATGCATCACTTTATTTCAAGTGTCTCAAACAAAAAATTTTTTGAGGTACTTAGAGTATTT